CTCTTCACACCTCCAGGAAGGGCACAGAGCTGCAGGGCACAGACCAAGGCCTTTCTGCCCCACATGGGGGCACCAGGCGTGAAGGAAGAGGTTCTAACAGACTTTCATCAGGGACTTTCCCCACCTGGCAGTTGGGGCCTATTTTTAGGCCCCAGACAGACGAGCTTTCAAAGATGCGGTCTGCTCCCCCAGCCCACTCTGGGCCCCAGCCGGCAGCCCCTCCCTCAAATGGGGCCGCATCAGCTCAATGCCCCAAAGCAGTCGCCCTTGAGGCCAGGGCTACTGACCCCATTTAGGAGATGAGGAAACTGAGGCCCCGGACAGCAAAGCGCCTGCCTGCGCCAGGTCACCTCGTAAGTTAGGAGACGGCTCTGTGATTTTCAATCCCAGAACAGAGCGGAAAGGAGAGCCCCTGGGGGGGTCTGAGAAAGACAAATCAGGAGGGCTTCCTGGAGGGGGAAGCTTCCCGTGAGCTGGACCATAAAGAAGAAATGGGTAAGAGGAGAAGACTGGGTGAGGAGACTGGCTCCCTCCCTGTGACCTGGAACAAACCAGGAACCTTCCTGGACCTCTGCTTTTCTCATCTATAAAAGGAGAGGACTGGACCAAGCAGAGATCCCTCCTTTTGGCTCTGAAGCCTGCAAGAAAAGAGGAACTCGGCCCAGCATCCCCCCACCACACCTCACAGCCATCCCTCCCTAAACCCCAGCTTCACGAGCTTCCCTGTGTTCCAGACATCACATGGTCTCTCCCACCCCCAAGGCTTTGCTCAAGCTGCTCTCGCGACCTGGCCTGCACTCTTCTCCCCAGCACCCCCAAGCTCGGGCCTGTCATCCCTAGCACGCCAGCCTCCTCCAAGAAGCCGCTCCTGAATCTCCCCTCCCCCGTCTGTTCCGGGACTGGGATAAGGCCCCTCATCTGTGCCCCCAGAACAGTCAGCCCCGTCATCCAGCAAAGCCATTGTCGCAGTTGTCCTTGGGCCTGGAGCCCATAGAGGTCCAGACCCTGGTCTGGAGCTCGGCACATAAAAAGAAGGCATGTTGGAGAACGTATCTTCATTAAGGACAGACTCCTTCAAATGGTAGAGGTGGCTTTACTTTGTTTGTTTTGCCAATTTAAAAAGCAATATACTTGAGCAACCACATAAATACAGTAGCATTGGATGATAACCCAAAGTACAAAGTAAATATCCGTGAGTTTCCACTGCTATAAATAAGTAAACCGTTTCGTGTAATTAACACATGAGGAAAACAGACGAATCCCCCATGAGAAATTCCAAATGCCCTCAAGAAATAACTTGCCATTCTTTAAGTGACTTTCTTCCCCAAAGGAGAGTATGGAAGGCGGGGCAGGGTGGAGAAACCTGCCGATCACGACTGCCGCCAGGTGACCGAGGTCACCGTCAACAGTGCTAAGACACGTCAGGAGTCCATACCTTTGATATCATGTGCTGACGATGGCCCCTTACCCCTATGGTCTTCCTCCCAAAAACACCTGACCCAAGCCTCACCAAGAGAAAACCCTCAGACAAGTCCCACTGGATGCATATTTGACAAAACGTATGCCCAGCCCGCCTCAAAACTGTCAAGGTCACCAAAAACAGGGAACATCTGAGAAACCGTCCCAGCCAAGAGGAACCTAAGGGACATAAGGACTAAATGTGACACGGTATCCTGGATGGGATCCTGAGACAGGGGGAAAAAAAAAAAAAAAAAGATGTTAGGGAAAAGCTGAGAAAATCTGAATAGAGTGTGGACGTTAGTGCGTCGAAGGCGACCCATCAACTGTGACAGATGAGCCATCACATAAGGTGCTAACACTAGGGGAAAACAGGTGCAGGGCGTACGGAAATCTGTACTATGTCTGTGACATTTCTGTGAATCCAAAACTGTTCTAAAATTAAGTTTACTTTAAAAAGTCATACGTGTGCATTGTACCGAACACGGAGAATACGGGAGTGTAGAAACAATTAGAGCTTTCACAACCCTGGCAGCCCAGAGACAGCCAGCCCCGGCCTCCCTCCCTCCCCGGCCTGGTGCTACAAGGTTTTGAAACCACCGCAGGTGTAAGCTTTTTCGTCCGGGCGATGCGTTCCTAATGGGATTCCAGGTGCCTTGGAGGGGAGAAGTCAGGGAGGGAGAGATTTCTGAGCAAAAGGGCCTTCCGGGGATCCTTTCCTCTTACCATTGATTTAAGACAGGCTTTGGGTTGCAGACAAGCCAGGGCTAAAGACCTAATTTAAGCCTCCCCAGAGAGGCCGAGTCTATGAATAGCTCTTAATGTTGTCACCCATGACTGGCTCCAGATGATGACAATCTGGGCAATCAACACATCTGGGCAATAGCTTCCCTTTTTCCATCCAGATGTTAGAGGCCAGGACAGTATACCTGTCCCCCCAACTGCTCAGTCACAAGAAAGCCCCCAGCCCCCCTGCCCTTTCTGGGAAGGAGCAGAGGACGATCCCCCCATTGGAACCAACCAAGGACCCCAGACAGCACTGCCCGGTACAGCTTCCTGGCTTCTCCTCTGTTCTCATGCCTTATGTTCTAGAACATCCCATGGCTCCCCATGGTCCACATTACAGACCCTGGGAGTGACTTAGCACCCGGGAGACATTTGGCAACGCCTGGAGGGATTTTGGGTTGTCACAACTGGGCAGGTGGGGGGAGGCTACCGGCACCTTGCGGATAGAGGCCAAGGATGCCGCGAAACGTCCCGCAACGTACGACAAAGAATTCTCCAGCCCCAAGTATCAACAGCAGCCTACCCCGAACTCCCAGAGTCCTCAGCTTGTCACTCGGAGCCCCTACCACCACCTGCACCCCAAGCCAAAGCCTCCAGCCTGGGCTGTGTACGTGTCCCCTACACAAGCCACCACCCCTCAGCCTGTGCACTTTGCACACCTGTGCCTCACCACCCCCCATAGGCTACGCCTCCCTTAATGGCACCGCCTCCAAGGAGGCTTCCCTGGTCACTGGCCCACACTTTCTCCAGCTCTGCGGGCAGGCACTGATGTCGCTTCACCACGTCCTGGTGAGGACCTCACGCAGCGTGGTCAAGAGGAACTCTCGAGAGTCGCGAAGCCTGGGGCCTTCAGGACAGAGGCCAGGCCCAAGCAGCCTGCATGTGGACGCTGTCCCGCCCGCACAGGGATTTCTTTTTCACCTCGAGCCAGTCGCCAACACGGGAACGCCACAACATGGGGCCTAAAAGGCCGTGTTTCCTGCTTCTCTGAATGTCAGAAGAGCGGCTGCTGGGGCCCGCATTCCTGTGTGGCAACAATCAGAGGAAGGAGGGACCGGCCACCGGGGTAGACCCAGAACAGGGCCCCGAGGTCACCGCGGGTCCGTCCGCCCCACTGCGCTCACTTACGCGACCTGCCCGGCCCGTCAAGAGGCTGGAGTCTGAAACCTCTGCGCCAGTCCACATCCCCACCCCTCATTTTCTAAAGGGGACACGGAGGCCCAAGAGAGAAACTTGTCCGAGGTCACACAACCAGTCAGGGGCAGAGCTGGGGTACAGACCCAGGGGCCTTGTCCCCCACAGGGACGCCGCGGGGGCCAATCACCGTCCTTCGGAGAACGCTGCCCAGTCCGAGCTTGGAGAGGCCCTAAGGATCTCACGTGGGGACAACCGAGGCGCCATTCGCTTCTCCCAGGATCACTCTCACGCCGGCGGGAGCTAGGCAAGGCAACCTCTGAGAAGCGCCCCAAACCAGCATCACTCCAAGTGCCCGGCAGCACACTGTGTCGGAGGCACTGCTCACAAACACTGCTGTGCGCCAGGCACCCCGATCCTCACAGCCAGAGAGGTATTACTGTTTTCAATGAGGAAACCGGGGCCCAGAGAGGTTAAGTAAGCGGTCCCCAGCGGCACAGCTCGGAAGCGGGGAGGCGAGAATTTGCACCCAGGAGTGGACCCCGAAGCTAGCTGTGCACCGATCCGCTGAGGAGCCCCGCCCCTCTGAAGGCCGGGCTCTCGCCACAGCCCTGCCTGCCCTGCCCAAGACAGGAAGCAGATGCAGCCAGACTTCAGCAGTTTCCAGCAGCCCACCACAACAGAATGCCGGATTTAGGCTAATTTTGAGGAAGCCCTTCTAGGCTCATGAGAGAACTGTTAACCACAGGCCCTGAGTCACCGTAAGGAGGAAGGTGCCTGGGTCTGGGGGAGCCGGGTGTGGCTCAGAGTCGTGCGGTGAGGTAGACGGGGTCCGGGCAGGAGTGAACAGAGACCCCAAGTTTCACCCACCGAGACAGAGCGGGGAGCCGCTGGCCCCAAGGGGCTGTGGCTTGCCCACAGTCACTCCGAGCGAAAAGACAAAGGCTCCACGCCGGGGGGGGGCGGTTTGCACACCAGCTTCCAAAGGGGAACTGCTGGGCTGCTCCCTCTCAGGGCCAGGCAAGCCACCCCACCCTGTAGCACCAGATCTCAGATCTTCTTTGGTGGTTTGGTGGGTTGTAAACCAAGAGGATTCAGCCCCCTCCCTCCCCGCCCGGAGCACAAAGGAGAGGGTCCCCCCTTCATCCTCCCAGCGGCCCAGGACCCCCCACAGGAAGAGGCAGGCTGTGCCTGGGGCCTGACCCCATCCCCTGGCAACAGCCCCAGCCCACATTTCTCCCGAGATTCCTGGCTCCCGACGCACTTTGCCGGCTGCTGCTCCCTTCGAACCTCGCGGCTGTTCTTTGGTCCCATTTTACAGAGGCAGAAACTGAGCCCCAGAGGCAACGTGAGTTCCATTCGCTCAGCATGAAGACCCTCCTCCCACCACTGCTCCACTCTGCCAGCTGCTGCAGGGCTCCCCCCCCTCTTCCCGGTTGAAAAAGGGGAAACTGAGGCCCAGAGCAGGGAAGGGATCTGGCCGGGCTCCCGCGGAGAGGTGGTGGGCAGCGGTCCTCCCACCCGAGGGGGTCAGTAGATTGGGGCCCTCTCTCTTACACACACACACACACACACACACACACACACACACACAGCCTCCCCGCGCCCACCCGCACACTCACCACATGGTAGATGGCCAGGGCGGTGGTGGCGATGCGGACATTGAAGCAGCAGCAGGTCTGGCGGACGGCAGCCGTGCGGGGGGCCATGGTGCTGCCGTCCCCTGCTCCTAGGCACTGAGGGAGAGAGCCCAGCGCCTGGAGCAGGGCAGAAAAGAGGAAGCCGCCAGCTACCCTCTTCACTTCCTTCCTGCCCCTCAGACAGGCAGGGGCCGGGTCGTCACCACTGGGGCGGGGCGGCTGGGAAGGGCTACAGGCTGCCTCCAGCACCACAGCTGGCCCTTTGCCAGCCCCGGGGGGCTGGGGGGGGGGGGGAACCTCCCTGGGGAGGGCAGGTCCTTGCAACTCCATACATACCGTTTGGTAGAGCTGGGGTCGGAGCAGACTCACGCCCCGCTTACTGGACGCTCCCCATCGCTCGTGGAAGGCAGCGTTACCATTTTGTAGATGGAGGAACACAGGGCCAGAGAGGTCAAGGCAACCACCCCAAATCGCACAGCAGTCAGTGCTGGTGGCGCGATTCAAACCCAGGTCGGCCTGGCTGCAAACGTAGCTACCGCATAGCGTGCTCCTGGATTACTTGCTCTCATGCGCACCTCCGTCCTTTGAGGGAGGTCGCATTACCAGCCCTAGTTTACAGATGAAGAAACGGGGGCCCAGAGAGGGGGAGCAACTTGTCCAAGGTCACACTGCCAGCCCACGGAGGAACTGGGATGAAGGGGAGCCGACTGCTCCGAGAGGTGGCCCCTTGGAGCTGGTGTTCTCTTCACTCTACGTCCAGCCTCAGAACGTGTCCTTCCTGAGCTCTGTCTGAACCAGGACAGGAGAATGATTACTGAGCAAAGCCCTCAGTCACACGTCTGGCCCTGGTTTGGGCTCTCCCCACAGCTGGCTCCTTTATGCCTCATGGCAGTCTGGGAAGCCCTCAGTCAAGCCTCTCTCCGTGGGCCACAGGGACCCCGAGGCTCACATGCCGTCAGGGCTTTTTCTCCCCCTCACTCTTGGGAAGAGTTGGAATTAATAAAGCGTGACTATTAGCAAGCTTCGCCGGCAAGCTAGCGTCTCTACTCCCTTCTCAGGTGACAAGTGATCCCTATTGCAGTAAAGGAAGGGCATACGAGGCACTTGGGAAATCCCTGCCAGCATTCTGCTTTGTGCTGATGCCGAGCTCACTTGCAATGCATAGTTCCCCTGGAGAACTCCTGGGCACCTGCCATGAAGCCCCACCCTCACATGAGGTCCTGGAGTTCGGATTGGCCACCACGGCTGCTCATCATTTCCGCCCCGGGAGAGGTTATAAAAGGTCTCTCTGCTCCTACCCCAGGCAAGAGTTGCTCCATTGGACTCACAAAACTTGGCTGGTACACTTGATCAAACCTTTCTCTGTTTGCCTGTCAGACCAAGGGGGCTCTGCAGGCTTGGGGTTCCTGGGTGGCCCAGCCAGTCCCTCCCCTACTTTATTTTCAAGCTTGTTTAGCTGGCGTCACCGACCTTGCTGGATCAGACGTCACGGAAGGGTGGTGCAGGGTACTTGGTTACGTGCGTGGGCTCTGAGGCTCCCGGGTTCAATTCCCGGCACCTGCCGGCCACAGAGACAACACAGAGAGAAAAGTCCTGCTTTGCCCAAGAGCGGCAGGACCGGAGTGGCAGGAGATAAAGAAAGCAAGGGCCAGAAGGGCCCCGAGGCTGCGCTGGGGAGCCTGGATTTCATTGTGCTGGGAAACCACTTGAAAATTTAATGCCCTAGCAAATGATAGCCATTAATATCATCATGATTTGATGAAACTAAAGCAGGTGTAGAGCCCGTTCCCAGAGAGAGTGCCAGAACCCACCGCCAGTGTGTGAGACCATTTCGCACGGTACGCGGATGAACACTTTTCATTTTTACGGTGATAAATTCCTTTTAATGTGCATTATAAAAATACACATAACAAGCCCATGAATTTTGTGACTTTCCATTTATGAGAGTAATAGAAAGCCTCTTTTTAAAACAGATGCCTTTAGGGGCGCCTGGGTGGCGCAGTCGGTTAAGCGTCCGACTTCAGCCAGGTCACGATCTCGCGGTCCGTGAGTTCGAGCCCCGCGTCGGGCTCTGGGCTGATGGCTCAGAGCCTGGAGCCTGTTTCCGATTCTGTGTCTCCCTCTCTCTCTGCCCCTCCCCCGTTCATGCTCTCTCTCTCTCTGTCCCAAAAATAAAAAAAAAAATTAAAAAAAAAAACAAAAAACAGATGCCTTTAAATAAAAAAGCGGTGGGTCGGCTTAAAGAAAACCATCAAGCCCGCCGCTGGCCAGGAGGCAGGCAGATGTGGCAAACAGCCACGGAGCAGGGTGGGCATCCCTGGTTTGGGAATTCCGGGCCGCGGGAAATCTCACGGTAGCTGTGTGATCTCAGACAAGGAGTTTGATCTCTCTCTGAGTTGTTGTTTCCGCCTCCGCGAACCAGAGGGCAGAGGCTCCACCTTGGAGAAGACGAAATGAGATCACGTGCAAACACGTCTGTCTGTTTCCTCCCTTCCGGGACATGCCTGCTCCCCACCCCCGCCCCCACCCGCAGGGCTGCTGAGAAGAGGCAAGGTTGGGATTCGAATTCTGGTCCGTCTGCTCCTGGGTCCGGGGCACCGCCTCCCTTCCCGAAGCGATGGAGTTCTGATTGATCGTGAGCTCCTCGCTGCCCCCACCACCTGCCGGGCCCTCGGTGGGAGGGGGAGACTCAGTCACTCCCCTACGGGGTGGAAGCCCATTCCTCTTTATCTTCATCCCCTCCAAACCTCCTGAGAGAGGGATGCTTGTTCTGCCAAATATCAGACCTCTCGGCCAAGGCCACTGAGGTAAGCAGACCAAAGATACCCATAGCTCAATCCCTGGATTTAGAGATTTAATCCCACGGTTAAAGGGACTTTGCAGGGGTGACTAAGACCCGAGCTGGGAAGGTTGTCTTGGAATATCCAGGTGAGAGGCGCCAGGTAAACAAAACAGAATCATCAAAGTGTCTCGTGCTCACCATCAAAAATGTAAGCACAAGGGACGCCTGGGTGGCTCAGTCGGTTAAGCGTCAGACTCTTGATTTCCTCTCCGTTCATGACTTCACGGTTCACGAGTTGGAGCCCCACACGGGGCTCTGCTCTAACAGCGCAGAGCCCGCTGGGGATTCTCTCTCCCTCCCTCTCTGCCCCCTCCCCCGCGCTCTCTCTCTCTCTCTCTCTCTCTCACTCTCACTCAAAATAAATAAATAAACATTTTTCAGGTAGAGATTGGAGGATGCGGAAGTGCTTACTCCGAAGATGGAGAAAGGAGACGACAGCGAAGGAACACAGGCTGCTTCTAGAAGCTGGAAAGGGGCACGGACTTTTCCCTGTCCAAAGGGAATGCACCCTGCTGACCACTGACGCCTTCTTCTGATTTTAGCCCGATGAGAGCCATGTTGGACTTCTGTCCTCCAGAATGGTAAGCGAATAACTTTGTGTTGTTTACGCTGTGATTTGTTACAGCAGCGACAGGAAAGATATGCTGCCCCTCGGTAGAGTCCACGCTGGGCCCTGGGCCCCTCCAACACTCCACGGAAGCCACAGTCCCCATCCTCACACGTGCAGCCCTTGGCCTCCTCGCTGTGGACCTTGGGCAAGTCACGGGCTTCCCTGAGCCTCGGTTTCCTTTTGCCACATATCCTATAACGATAACGCCCATCTTGCTGTTTGTGCAGACGACCTAAGGAAATGCCCAGGCGGGCGGCAACCCGGCATGTGCCCCTTACGCCTCTTCGGCCCTTTTCCATGACAAACGACAAGGTTTGGGCTTCTCCAGGCTTCTTCCTAACCTCACCGTAAACTGGTGGAAACCTTGCAAACTTGTGACCTTCCAAAGCCCAGAGAAGGAGAAGAAGGTGTTGCAGATTTCCATAGCAGCAGCCCGGCAGGGACGCACCTGCCACGACGCCGACCTCCTGAGTGTCACTTCTGACAAGGGATCTTCGGGGACTCCCATCTCCTAGCTGGTCACCTTGCGTCCCCAAAGCATCCGTACCTCCAGCTGCTTGTCCCGCCTGACGTTCTTTTAGTATATATTTCAACAGACTTCTCGGTTTCCTCAAAGGCAGAGTTGCTTGTGAGCTTTCTTTGTTGGGCCAGAACATCACTGGGACTTCCCTCTTCACCCACAGGCCTGGCGGTAAAAATAAAACCCGCCACGACTCCTCCAGGTTTCTTATTCAAACAAAGAGCTGGGGAGTCTTGCCCTCTCAGTTAACCCGCAGGGTTCAGGAGGACCTGGCTCCTAGTCACGACTCAACAGCCGGAGCTACTTTGATAGGATTGTTGCCAGGATTCTTCCTGTCATTAGCTAAGCCCTTTCCCAGCGTGTAACTCAGCTGAGCGTCCCCCAGCCCCAGCCTGGAGAGGAAGGAGGCAAAGAGGTGTCAATCGATCGGCCCCTGGCAGGCCCGGAGGGGGCAGTGGCTGGTGCACGCAGCTGGTCAGCGGCCGAACCAGAATGTGTCCCCCTGCCTGGGGACAGCTGCTTAGGAGGCACGTGAGTGGCGCGGCCCAGGGTAGTTCCGGGGCTCTCTTCCCCAGGGGGCTCCCGCGTGCCCTCTGCAGCTCACCCGGGGCCAAGGGACAAGCTTCCTACCCGACCACCAGCCTATAATTCCCCTCTGGCTGCCCTCACCTCCCCACTCCCACCTTTGAGATTTGGAGCTGGGACCTGCAGGGCCAAGGCCGGTGGCCTGGAGAATGTGAGAAAACACACAGTACTCTTTCCCCTCTCTTTCCGCCCAAACCGGCCTGCTGGCCAGGGGCCCGGGGCCTGCACACGCAGCCTCGGGGTACCCCCCCCACACACACCCCTGCCCTACAGAAGGGAGCCAGACCTCGACCTCAGAGGGTCATCCTGGCAAGAACCGCACACAAGCCCGTGACCAGGCGGTCGTCCCGTGGACAGGCGGAGCCCCTGAGGTGGTCTGGCCAACACGGAGCCGAGGAGGCTGCTCTCAGCCAAGGAGATCAAAGGTCACTGACTGCACCCAGGGGCATAATCACAACCTGTACTGCTCTGTCACTGCTGCCGTGGGCTCTGCTGGGCTGCGGGCCCTGAGGTGATGGCACCACAGTCAGAA